GCTATTTTTTGGTTGCAGCCGTCATTGTTGTTTGGGGGGTCCGGGCTGGGGATTCGAACCCGCCACCTTAGGTGTAGTGGCTGGCACCTTAGCCGGTTGAGCTATAGGCGCCGAGCCATCTGCTGCTGTTTCTTACCAATAACTCTTTCTAGTTCCTTGTTCTGAATTGTAATGAGATTGGCAGTGACCAAACGTGGAGGGCAGAACCCAACTTTTTGGGCAAGAATGGCAAGATCCTTCCAGTACAAAGCACCACCCAGGCACTCACCTAAAGGGGAAAAAAAAAAAAACAACTCCAGACCAACCAATATTTAATACAGCACTAAGAGAATTATTCTTCTATATAATTGATTAGGGCATGGTATTAGTCAAAACATAGAGCCCAGGCTGGGGACACAGTGGCCTGTATTCCTAGCACTTTGGGAGGCCAAAGTAGGAGGATTTCTTGAGCTCCGGAGTTTGAGACCAACCTGAGCAAAGAAAGACCCCATCCCTACTAAAAATAGAAAAATTAGCTAGGCATTGTGGTGGGCACCTGTAGTCCCAGCTACTTGGGAAGCCGAGGCAGGAGGATTGCTTGAGCCCAGAAGTCTGAGGTTTCTGTGAGCTAGGCTAAGTAATGCCATTCTAGCCTATGTGACCAAATGAGACTCTGTCTCTAAATAAATAAATAAATAAATACAATAATGTTAGTCTAAATAAAATTAGAATACTAAATTATATATATGGCATGCTTTTAATTGTATTATATATACACACAGAAAAAAAACCAAAGTAGAAGAATATTTACTGAAATATTAAAGAGAGAATGGGCACAGGGGCTCACACCTATTCCAAAAGAGAGAATGAAAAAAAAAAAAGAGAGAGAGAGAGAATGGGCACAGTGGCTCACACTTCCACTCTGGGAGGCCAAGGAGGTGGCTCCCTTGAGCTCAAAAGTGAGAGACCAGCCTGAGCAAGAGCAAGATCCTGTCTCTAAAAAATAGAAAAAATTAGACAAGCATTATGGCAGGACTTATAGTCCCAGCTGCTTGGGAGGCTAAGGCAGGAGGATCACTTGAACCTAGGAATTTGAGGATGCTGTGAGCTAGGCTGATTCCATGGTTCTCTAGCCTAGACAACAAAGTGAGACTCTGTCTCAAAAAAAAAAAAAAAAATTTAAAAATGTTATCACTGGATTTTATGTGATTTTTAATTTTTTTTATTTTTATTTTGTGTGTGACATCAAATGTATTTATTCAATTTTAAAAACTCCTCTTTATTTTGATATTATGTTCTTTATACCTTTTTTTTTTTTTGAGACGGAGCCTCAAGCTATCCCCCTGGGTAGAGTGCCATGGCATCACGCTCACAGCAATCTCCAACTCCT